AACACAATAGCTTGCATTGAATAACAAAACACATATCAAGAACAGCTGAGACCTGTGGCTTTTAGAAATATTAGTTCTCATCAGCCCAACAATGTGAACTGTGCTTTATATGTTTTCATGCAGGCGCGGAAATAAGCTTTTCTTTCAAAACGTTGTTACTTTCTTTGATCTTTAACATTTATTGTTTTATAACGTATTATAAGTTATGTTATAGCCATTCACTGCTTATTTGTTATCTCAAGTCTGTTTACTGCTATTGTAATTAGATTCTTAATGTATTTGAGGCGGCAGTATAGAAGCATGTATTATTTCTTATAAACAAATTGCCTTCATACACACAAATGCATTGAATTAAGCTTAACGACATGAAAAATGTGTGCTTTTACCGCATGGTTAAAATTTGATATTTTTGTTTTAACGAGCGATTTGAATTCTAAATGAAAAATGATAACGATTACATAAATAAATTTTGAACACATATTCTTATCAAAAACATAGTTCCTAATGCTGTTGCAAACGAGTTAATCTCCAAAAAATGCGAAAAAAAAATCGCCTGGAGACAGCTTGTAGCGTTATCATGCGTTTTTCTAGACAAATTGGAAAATATGTCGCGTGCAAGAAACTATGCCCGAGACAAGGCGGGAACGAACAGGCGGGAAAGGCGTGTCTTGACCACTGACATATTATTCATTGTTCCATCCTGTCAAGTGAAATTGTTTCATCGTACCGATCGATAAATACTGGGGTCAGAAAAGAGACAGAGCCCGTGTTTGGGAGTTTTCTGACAGATTACAATTAAGACCAGACAGGTGGCAAACAACAGTCTCTCCGGGTTTGCGTGCAGACGAAATTAAAGTTCGTTTTTAACAGTACTTTTTTATGTGAAGAAAAAAGTAATTGGCTCTTTCTCGTGAATGTGATGGAAATATTTTCGAACCTTTTCATGTGTCCTAGCCGTAGCTGTTCGAGTGAAACAGTTATTATCCAGTCAAATTTAAGAAAACTCAATACTTAACACTGCAGTTCTGTGAATTTTGAAACGGAAATAATTAAATTTGTAAGCCTCTAATTTAATATTCGTCTTATAAAAATCTCTCTAGAGATGATGTGGGCGAAATATAATAGCATTCCAAAGCACGAGATATTTAATACTATCTGTTTCTACTAGGTTTGCTTCTAATAATGATTAATTAAAACCAAATAACATTTTGTAGATTAATTGAAAAATCCTTCTCTTCTAAAATCATTGGCGAACCAATATGTTAGACTTACAAAATGTTTCTGAAGAACTAATTCCTACTTAATTCGTAATTGATAAATACATATTTGGCGTTGCTGTTAATAAGGTTTGTTTGTTTGTAATTAAGCACGAAGCTACACAATGGGGCTATCTGTGCTCTGCCCACCACGGGTATAGAAACGCCCACCACGGGTATAGAAACCCGGATTCTAGCGTTGTAAGTCCGCAGGCATACCGCTGTGCCACTGGGGGGGGGGGCTGTTAATAAGGACTTTGAAGTAAAAATAAACAAGAGTTTATGATAATATCAACCATAATGTAATTACTAGATCAGTTAAGTGTAACAAATTACATGACTCCCTCTGTTGATGAACTCGGAAATGTAATAGACATAACCCATTTCCTTGTTTATAATGAAAAAGGTATCTCAGAGGACCATAAAAAAATAAAAGCACCAAAAACGACCGAGTAGCTCGAGCATTTTCGAAGACTTGGCCCTCTTTTTTTTTTCAAGAGCTGAAGAAGAGCCTTCATTATTCTGTTTCGTAGGTAGAACAGTACATGCCTTCATAGTGTAGCTATATTCGTCTTTTTTTTTATATTTGTTTCCTTAACAGCGTTTATTAGGATTATTCTACATTGTTAACTTAGAATATGGATTTATGACTAACCTAGATGACCTAAGCTGGCTGAACTTTGTGTGGATATTATTTGGATTACGACCGAAAATATCGATAACAACAAAGGTACCCAACTGATGAAACAGTGCCTTATAATCATCTTGATTTTTGTGTTATGGTCAATCTAGAAGGGTCTTGGAGCATGCCCCCTAGAAAATTAATATAATTTACAGTTGCTATATAAGTCAAATATGTAAAAGTAGGATTGCTACAGCACCCCCTGGTTCCGACGCCTCTGCAGGACGCAATATATTATATTATTGTGTTCGTTTTGATTTTGAATTTCGTGCAAAGCTACTCCAGGGCCATTTGTGCTAGCCGTCTTTAATTTTGAAGTGATAAACTAGAGAAATGGAAACTAGTCAATATCACTCACCCCTTAACTTTTATCAACGAATAGTGGGATTCATCGTGACATTATAACGCCCCCGCGGCTGAAATAACGAGCATGTTCGGGAGGGGATTCGAACTCTCGACCCCCCAGATTGCGAATTGAGAACTATAACTAAAATATATATTAATAACGTCACTGATGTAGGAAGGAGTCGCAAGGTGGGAGTGCTTGGCTAGACATGCAGATTTTACAATGACAGTTTGAAAGTTATATGGAACTGCTTTCAGCAGCCCATCGGCTTGGAAATAAACATTATTGCTCACAGCCTAAACTTTCAATTTTAGTCTAATTTTCATCTTTAGAAGCATTATTGACACGATTCTAGTTTAATACACAATATTCAAGAAGTTTATTGTTTAAATTAATTGCTGCGGGTACGCGCAAGATCATATATAATAAATTTTACAAGAGTCATATTTTTTTTATGTTTTTTCAAGATTGTTGCTTTCCGCCTCATCGCTTGAGTATTATATAGAATTGAGCTTCAGTGTAGGCACGTGTGAGCTCTGTACTACACACAGTTCCTAAAAGTTTATAAGACTACTGTAGCTGTCGTAAGCAAGATAAATGGCATTTCAGACAACGGTAAAGCCTCGTAGGTGAGGAAACTTCATGGCAATCAGAAGATATAGCCCTGAATCCCATGAGAATTTCCTGCTGAAAAATCAATACGTTAAGCACCAATTACTGATTACAGGCATCAGCTCCAAATTATGACAAATAGCGCAGCAAGTCCCATAACTGCCGTTAAGATCGCCGACTGTGACTGCGGGTGGGACAAAGGTGCATTACACTAAGTGATTTCTTCCGTTGCCATGACGACAGAAGTGCTGGAAGACACGGCTAGTGTGGATGTCTTGGCTAGAAGTCACATTATATACTAGTCTGCAGATCGTTTCAAACACCGTCATATATACATTAAATCATTTTATCGTTACTGCGGCAGGATATGCACACAAATTGTTATTGCTTTTGTGTTTTTGTTTCCTTTCTTTATTTGGATCACTTTATGCTGATGAGAACATTTGTTGAAAAAATAAAATGATCTTGCATTATAATTTGTGCAACAAAGCATCCTTAAGGTAATGTGAAAATGAGTACGGCCGAACATTCATATGTAACGAACATAATCTGTGTGTAATATATATATATATATATATCAAATCCGTCAAGTTAACTCAAAGTCAAACGTTTTCTGGAATGTAAGAGT